CACCTACAGTAGCTATAAATATATAAGTCATCGGTCGGCCTTCAATATTGCGCAGAAACCGTATCATGCTTTGATTAAACTTTTCGGGAGACCATTTTGAAAAGCAAACAAAGACGTTGAAATAACGACATTTAAATCACTTCGATCAACTTGATTGGCAAATGCATGTTTCTTATACAACAGTTGTAATTATTATACGACGCATGTGCAAATTTAAAAAGAAATTGACTAGATAATAATGTTTAAATCAAAATGATCAATACCAACTGAATTGTATGATATTAAACAAGTAACAGGTAAGTCGAATTTTTTGTATTATATGATTTCGTTTTCACTTGCAGAATAAATGTAGCGAAAGGATTATATTTGTGTCCCTAATGACATTTAGGATTTTCACATTATGTTCATACATGTATTATCGGTGTTATTCCTAATCGATATACATATTCGTGAAATCATTAACCGGAAATATTTAGTGGAATTACAAAAAAAACCCAACATAATATCGATTTTCGTTAGCACATTCATTTGTTAACAGCAACAAACTTAACAAAGATGACCTTTTTAATAGGTAAACCTTCTTACTTTTTTGCACAAAATGCAGTTTTTAAAAGTGTAAGACAAAATTTAAGATCTAACAATTTCAGAGAAACTTCATGCTGAATACAAACCTTCTAAACCTACTATTTTAAATGTTTTTGTTTAAAAAAATGCAGAAACATTATAGTGTTTGAGGATGTTATAATAGATTTTACAAAATAAACTACTAAAGTTTATTTAATCGATTGTTGGGAAAAGACATAATTACATTGCATGTGTGTTAAATGATTTATGGTTGGACAAATTTAAAAAGAAGTACCTGCGATAATGACACGAATTTATATATATACCTTTAAATCAATAATCATTTGAAGAAAGTGGTAAACAAATAGGTAATTTGACCCTGATTAATGCGCACTTTATTTGTAAAAAAAAAAAAGACAGACGTCAAAATACCATCCAGAAAACAATCTTTTCAACTGATTTTGATCGTTTTTTCGTAATATTACAAAACTTCCCAGGTTAGTGGGTGAGGTGAGGTGGGTTGCGGGTTAGGTGTTGGCGTCATTAAACTAGTTCAACCCCGCAAATATCCTACGTGTCAGGAGACTGTAGTTTATTGGTTTTTATACGATCTTGTCAAATTTATTTTTCGCAAAATGTTTTGTAATAAATTAGGCCGTTCTTATTCTCGATTAAATTGTTTCATATTTTTCATGTCGTGGCCTTTTATAAAAAAAAAATTTATAATTGCTTACACCCACTTCGTTTGAACTCTGGTGGATAATTATCTCATTGGCAACCATACCATGTCTCCTTATTTTTATTTTGAATCCTCGTCAAACGTGTAGCTAAGGCGAAAAAAAGTAAAATCACAAAAATACTAAACTCCGAGGAAAATTCAAAACGGAAAGTCCCCAATCAAATGGCAAAATCAAATGATAAAACACATCAAACGAATGGACAACAACTGTCATATTCCTGGCTTGGAATTATTCATTATTACATCTTCAAACACCATTTAATTAGATTAGTACAAAGACGGGTTATCTATGACATTTACATATTTATTGGATTTATCAAATATAGAATGTCATAAATATTTTAGTGTCAATGCTTCAGGAAAATAATTCTAATGCAACAATTTTTGTTGCGTTTTAATGTTTTAGAAATACTATTGCTTTTCGACCCCAGGAATAGATAAACTGAGCTGGGTTTTTTTGGCAAAACTTTTCCGTATTTTGGGTTCTCAAAGCTCTTCAACTCTTACTTAATTTGGCCTCCTTGACCGTTTCATTCGAGTGTCATTGATGAGTCATTTGTTGACGATATGCGCGTAAATTAATATGGTATCTATGACGAGTTCATTGACTTTGATTTGATTATCTTTAAAGTCGACGATTTGTATATTTTATTGTGACTTTACTTTTTATTTACAAAACATGTTTATGTATGTAACTATATATGTTACAAAGATTACAGTTGAATACGCAGTACAATTGTGACAAAAGTACTATAACTGGCTGTGAAAGGGATTGATTTAAGTGATTGGCTGTTTGCGTGATTATACAGTCATGTTTTTGCTCCAGAAATAGTTATACCACCTAGTAAAAGTAGGTGTTATACGATAGCCATCTATTGTCAATTTGCTTCCTGTACTATTTACCAAACTTCATGAACTACAAACGAAACATCATTAATACACCATCAAAATCATCTTAATTTCATCGTTTTGTATTCTGGTTTTATATTTCCTCATAAGTCGCCTTTTCGATCTTAATACTAGTTGTCTTTAATCGGGATAAATAACTGACATCGACATGACAAGAAACGAAAAAAGATTATTAGAACACCAGTATACAAAATACAATATAAAGAGTTTTACGAAACTGATAAAAACTTACTTTTTATATTAAATCGTACACTTTTAATCTCAAAAATATTAAAAGAGGCAATTATATTATGTTAATTTGTTTTTGTAAAACAATACAGAGGAACATAAAAGTAGTTATTAAATATAGCAAATATATCTAGATAAATAGGAAATGAAAAGATGTACTCAGATGTGACGAAAAATATTCAACTAAATTGTCGACAGAAAAACATATTATTTCATTAGATAAACTATCATATTCTATACTTGTGTATTATAAACTTTTGAAATATAAAAAGAAATAAGCTTATTAGATTAAAAAAGAAACGAAGTGCAGAAATTGATTTCCAATGATATTTGTGTTTTCACATAAACTTAAGGATTTTAGGAATTAATTATGGTAAAGCACTTTGACTGGAGATCGTAATAAGGACTATTGACTTTTCAAACATTGAAGAATGACAGTCTATTAATTTTAAAAACTAAGCAACCATGTATTTAATATTTACTCTTCAAGACGTATTTAATTAGAGACGACACTAGTCATATAAATGTTTAAAGTTGCATATCCACGCAGAATAAAAAAAAAATCAAGACACAAAATGACGGAATTGCATGCAATCCAAACGGAGGAAAGTTAATTATCATTTGTAAAACAATCATTGTTTCTGTACACCACTTGAACTCTCCCCTTCCTTCAATGGAGACATACAGACTATTCTTTGTATTCCAATGACAATAAAACGTGCATTTGAGACATACTGGTATTGACAAGATGCACTAAGAACAACATTTGAAACTTCATAGAGCCAAACGTTGTGTATTGAAATTAATTATTAAATGAAAATAAATAAATAAAAAATGTACAATATACAGCAGAACCTACTAAAAAGTATGACGATCATATAGCTTAATAATAAATAAAATCCTTGAAAAGGTATACGTTGCTATTCTTAATTCATGTTATTATCAATGTGTTATTTTCAGAAAACAACTGTATGTCTTGTGTTTTTTCTATTAACCATGCAATAATTGTGTTGTTTTTCTTTCTTTTAACTTTGTTTGATAAAGCACTTATATACCTTTTTATTCGCAACAATTAAAAATCAATAATGACACACAAAATAGCCAGTTAGTTGAAGTGGTACCGACACGCAATTAATTATAACACCAAAATCCAGATGAAAAAACACATTGTTCATTTAACGAGAAAAAAACTTATTTTGAATTTAGTTGATACGGTAGCAAATCACAAAAAAAAAAAGAAGAATAATACATATAGCAATAGAAATAATACAAGACTTAGCTGTCCAAGATACAATCTAGAGAAAGCAAACACACAACATTATTCTTTGTATAATTTTTAATACATATCATTTGGTTTTAGTTTAAAATATTGCGTAAAAAAATGGCTAACGAAGAAGAGGATAACATGAGCAGACTTTTTTTTCTACTGCATTTTATCACACCAGATGTATTAAATCGATTTTTCAAAACTGTGATACTTAAAGGCGACACTTTTTGTAAATATCTGGAAAACAAAAGACACGCTATATATCATCTACATCATACTACACCATGCTGTGAAAAAGGCTGCACGATAGAAAAATTAAAACAACAGAAAGTTTTATCCGCGGAACAATTCAATTTGCTTTTTTGTGTAACGGCACGTGAAAATAAGTCCCATGTGAAAAGGTTGAACGGAAAACTGATACAAAAATGCATGTGTTGCATTGCACCAGTAGCAAATGTAAGTGTGGATGTTATGGATATAACATTAATTTGTTGTATCATTAAAAATTGCGACAACATCCAGCAAGCAGAGGAAGATAGGTTGCAAACAATAAAAAATGTAAGAAACAAAATTGTTCATTCCTCAAATTTACTAAACATATCAACACTAGAGTTTAACAATTATTGGACGAAACTGGAAGGGGCACTCAGAGGATTAGCAGAATCAGTGAGCGATGATTATGGAGGAGATATTACTACTCTAATATATAATACCAAGAGAAGAAACGTTAATGAAAGTTATCCAATTGAACAGATTAAAATCATTCTTCAACAACTGCAAGACAAGATTACTGAAAAAGAGGTATTACATAATTATACCCTAATTGATATATAATAACAACATACATGATCTACACACAATAAATTAAATAAATATTTCGAAATTCATTTGGCCCGAAATGTTTTGATTGCGGTGGTACCTGTGAAACACTTATAGACAAATCACCTGTCTGATATATCAAAATATTATCCTTACATTTTTTTATGAAATTTAAAACGACTGTATAAATTTCATTCAAATATGTAAAAAATTAAGAATCGTAGAAAAATTAAATGCAAAGCTTTTTTTTTATTATAATGAAAATAAACTTTTATAAATTTGATAGTGTATGGAAATTATGATTTTTGCAAGGAAATGTTCGAATTCATCTCCAACATTACTAACAATGATATTTTCTGCCTCATTTTAATGAAAACGGTCGTCATTTCTTAACTATTTTCGTAGGTCATACAGCGAAGTATTTCAAAGTATGATGAGGAAAATTTTACAGCAATCCATTGTACATTGACCAGAATGGGTATGTGATGATTTTGATAATATTAAGAAAGAAACAATAAACGAATCACTTCCTTTTCATTCAAGTGAGAGGTTTAGCTAGCTATAAAGCCATGTTTTATCCACCATTTTCTACATAAGAAAATGCATGTATCAAGTTAGAAATATGAAATTTGTTATCCATTCGTTTGATGTGTTTGATTTTTTTGTGATTTTACCTTTCCCCTATCGTTGAATAACGTTTGCGTTAACTGTGTCGTTCACTTTTGCGTGTAGATGTCACAAGCTAATGTGAATATCATTCTTAATCTTATACTATATCCGATTCGTTTTTACAATTGCTAACGAAAAGTATAACATCAATCAAGCAAGGTATATGTCAACTGAAAACCGCAAAATTATTTCTACGACTCAACTCCTGTGTCACTATGACAGTTTCTGTTCTTCGTGATATGAGGGTATCACATTCTCTAAAACACAAACTTTAAATTGGCAAAAAACAAGAGATTAATAAAACAATCGTTGACCAAGGGCTAGTATTGGTTATATTGAAAATAGAGTGAAGCAATTCAAATAAGAACAAGCAAATAATTTCTACAACAACAATTGTCCCACATTTGTTTAATTTCATAATCAGTTTTACGCATATTCTAAACTGTACTTATACGTGTCTCTTTTTTCGTTTTTTATATAGATTAGACCGTTGGTTTCCTGTTTAAATAGTTTGACACTAATCATTGTTGGGGCCCTTCATAGCTTGCTGTTCGGTGGTAGCTAAGGCTCGGTGTTAAAGGCCGTACTTTACATATCATGATTTAGTTTTACAAATTGAGATTTGTTTAATTGGCGCTCATTCCACATCTTCTCATACCTATTGCATATTGTTCATATCGTTTCCTGAATTAATTTACGTTTCTCTCTGTCACCTCGTTTTTTAAAGATTACACACCAAAATTACTTTGTTGATACAGAATAAGGTAAAAATTGAAAAAAATGTAGCCGTTGAATAATTTTCTTCCTGCTTTTGGCAAGAAAATTGGCATTATTAGTTACCATACGATTGCCGATTGTATGTTGCAAATAACGGCGTCTTTCAAAACTCACTAAAAAGTAAAATAACAAAAATACCGAACTCCGAGGAAAATTCAAAATGGAAAGCCCTTAATCATGTTGATCAAATGGCAAAATCAAAATCTTAAAAAAACATCAAACGAATAGATAACAACTGTCATATTCCTGACATGGTACAGGCGTTTTTTATGTAGATTATGGTAATACATTGTTATTAAAATAATCAGACATGTCGATAACTTCGACTTGAATATTTTTCTTGAAATGTATGAGTTTTTTCTTTGTCTATCTGCTTTGGGCTTTTTTCTGTCGGCTGTGGAAATCCATATAGCGTATAATGCCTGATAAGTTAGTTTGTTTATTTTGATCAATCGGTTGATATCTGATTTACCATTATCACGCATCTCATGTTTTACATATGCATAACATGTACAACTTATAACATATACAGGCAAACTTGACGGATGGCTATTATTTTAGTTCCTTTTTGGTCAATAGGCTCTTCAGCTCGTATGGTTCTTTAAAATCATTTGCTTTCAAATATGCGTTTTAAAGTAAGGTAAATCCAGTAACGCGCATTAGACACATGCAATATATCTCATAAATTTCTTTATTGTTTTTTTTATAACTCAGCTGAGACTTTAGATAAAATCGAAATTAATACTTCGCAGAGACGTACAACTATCAGTGAGACAGAGGAAGAACATGCATTAAAGGAAATAATCAATAATATGCAAATATTCACAACTGAAACTGAACACGAAACAACTGTTGAATGTCCATCTGCACAGATTGGAAGCTCTCAAGGTATGATGATAGTAATTAATAGATTATCTCATTGCATTACTCCACTCATAGCATGTAACTCAATGTCAGAAGAAAAAACGATTAAGTATTCATGCAGTTAGTATTAGATAGAAAGGTATGAAAACTAAAAAAAAAAAAATCGAAGAAAGTATAAATAGAACACAATAGAAAAAATAATTAAGCATTGGGTCAATGATTAACTGAGATTTTTATCTTTATTATCATGCAGATATTACATTTCAGTTAACATATTGCAAAAAAGAACGCACTGTACTGTCGTTTAAGGAAAAGTATCCAACGGATACAGCCAATTAATATAGCTTTATTTGCATTGACAGTTGAATAACTGGAAAACAAATTATTGATGAACATCAACCGAAACACATAGTGTTGCATTTCTGCAGCACCCTGCCGAGAAAATATATCACTATACATGTCTCGGATTTCTGAGATGTACAATTAGTGCTTTCCTTTTTATTGTCGCTGAAAAAAAATCATCACTATGTTCATCAGTTCAATTGAGTCTGATATATGCTTTCAGGTTTTTATTATTTTCTGTTGATGTTTTAAAATACACGACACAATAAAAACAAGAAATATAACTATAAAAGTCGAGAGACCAGTTTTCACGTCAGGATCAATGTTATCTGTTGTAAATTGATTCAGATATAACATCTAGTTGCTGGAATTATTAGTTACACAGTGTGCAATTGTCCTAATGCGAGAATTTTATTGACCAGATGATTTCCGTATTAGGACAGTTGCACACTGTGTAACGAATTTATCCCAATTTTGTTTTATATTAAAAATCATATATTCAAATTTAATTATAAGGACAATATCAACCAAATATATTAAAATATTTAATCTAAAACTGTGAAAAATGAAAAATGTTAGGACTATAAAGCAATTTATTTTATCATGTCAATGGTATAAGGGAGATAATTCCAATTGCATAATAAAAAAAATGTACTGAAATTTATTAGAACAATATCAGCCAATCAAATTGCGAGAAATTACTTTAAATCAGGATAAATATATTTATCATAGACAATCGTATCACATCACAGTAAGGGTGTAAAAACAGGACCACTTTGAAAATTTTCGGATTGATATGAAATATCTGCAAGGAAATAGTCTGAAAAGCAGTATCGAAGAAGTTAACAATGGTCCCCTTTTTTGATTTTGCTAAAACTTTTTAATCTGTGAAAAATATGATCTTATTAGTCAAATTACATAATTAATAAATCAATTGATAATGTTACAGATGGGATTTCAGTCAAAATCCATATGAACACCTTGCAGTACCATGAATCGATTAGTTATGAAAAAGAAGAACATGGATTAAAGAAAATCGATACACTCATGGAATGTTCTCAAATAGATAAACGTGAACCTAAACAAGAGACAATTAATGATTACCAAAGCTATTCAGGTAGATATTGATTATCATAAAATATTAATTTTTACGTAAAACGGATATAAATTCGTAATCATTGACAATAAGAGCGAACAAAGTATATGTTAAAATACAATTAAAATATGACCATTCTATCTCATTGTTCATTTTCATGTTCATAATATTTTTACTGAAACCGTTTAAATGTACCAAAAAAGAAAAAGCAAAAAAAAATAAAAATACTCAGAAAAAACCACATGTTGATGCAATATTGAATACCAATTGAATGACCAAAAAGAGATAAAGACAAAAGAAGTATAAAACCAATCAAAGCAAAATATGTAAATGGTTTTTGCATTCTTCTTTATATCTCCCAAACGCTAATTGCCATACAAATTGTTCATATGAAAGCAGCTATTGCCCTAAATTTTAGGGCCTAATATCTCAATACGTGTTCATATCAATGACGTTCATCAACGTATACACAATTCAAATAAGAATCCCGTGTACGCTTTTAGTAAACAACGGATGCGTTGGTTGACGTGGATCTATATTGGTAAAAGTTCAATTATGACCGCAGATATCTTGCTGTTCCAAATTGTATCATATTGAAGCATTGCAAATGTGATATGAGGACGATTATTATACACACAAGTTTCATATTAATTAATAGTTTGATATATTATAATACTACATCCCGTCTATTAGTATTTATAATGATAAAAAAGCATCTTATTCATATCTTTATTATGAGGACTGGTTATACTTATTTGCAAGTTCCGATTCGAAGGTAGAATTCTAGATTTTCTACTTTTCTATATACATGTGTTGTCAACAGATGGTACTTGCAATGAATGTTTTATTCCTTAAATATCAGCAATAAAAACACGTATTATATAGATATTCTGAAATGATAACGGAACTATTGAAAAATAAATCGTTTCAAGATTATAAAACGTTATTAACATATAGTTTTTTTTTACAGTTGAAATATTGGACAATGTTCAAATAAAACAGTCACTGTGCTGTGCATCAAATAATAATGAATTAGACGAACATAATTCCGGAGAAAAGGAGAAACGTGTACAACCATTCCAAATACACAACGCTGAAAGACAACATGATCAGACGATGGCTTTTTCCGAAAACACACAGCTAGGAAACGGCTCAGGTATAGACAAAAATGCAAAACCAGACACAATATCGTTTTAAAATATAAATAGGAGTGGACAATGTATACATTATAAGATAAATAAAGGCAACAGTAGTATACCGCTGTTCGAAAGTCATAAATCGATTGAGAGAAAACAAATCCGGGTTACAAACCAAAACTGAGGGAAACACATCAAAATACACCTCTTTATGTAGCATAAACATTAAATGTGTTTTTTTTTTCTGGTAAAAAATCATATTAAAGTATAAACCTTGTAAACAAAAATTAAAATGATAATGAAGGAGTGATCGAGAACAATAAAAAATAAACACAAATAACAGAATATTGCCACAAAACATTCTTCAGAATCCTTAATATCGAGGACAACAAACATCATTGTGAAAAGTTTGTCTAAAAGATAGCGTGTTTATCTTTACAGCTTACGAAAGATAAGAAGTTAGCAATATCCTTTAACTCTACGTTCCGCTATACAGATGATGTTCTCTCACTAAATAATACAAAATTTGGTGACTATGTTGAACGAATCTATCCCATCGAACTAGGGATAAAGGATACTACAGATACAGTTAAGTCTGCCTCATATCTTGACTTACATATAGAAATTGACAATGAGGGTCGGTTGAAAACAAAACTTTACGACAAAAGAGATGATTTCAGCTTCCCAATTGTGAACTTTCCATTTCTATGTAGCAACATTCCAGCAGCGCCTGCATACGGAGTATATATCTCCCAATTGATACGATATTCCCGGGCTTGTGTTTCCTATCATGATTTCCTTGATAGAGGATTGCTGCTCACAAGGAAGCTATTAAGCCAAGAGTTCCAAATGGTGAAGTTGAAATCATCCCTTCGTAAATTTTACGGACGCCATCACGAGTTGGTTGACCGTTATGGAATAACCGTTTCACAGATGATATCGGATATGTTCCTTATGTCGTAACTACAATACCCTTCCATTTTCACGAATGTGACTTACCGAATTAGACTATTTACCAGATTTGTAATAACATAAGCAACACGAGGGGTGCCACATGTGGAGCAAGATCTGCTTACCCTTCCGGAACACCTGAGATTACCCCCAGTTTTTGGTGGGGTTCGTGTTGCTTAGTCTTTAGTTTTATATGTTGTGTCATCTGTACTATTATTTGTCTGGTTGTATTTTTATTTTTGGCCATGGCGTTGTCAGTTTGTTTTCGATCTATGAGTTTGACTGTCTGGTATCTTTCGTCCCTCTCCTTTACGAAGATACGATGGCGAAAGAAAAACATATTGTTGGTCTAAATCCTCAAAACTTTTATATTAGTTAAAATGTAATTGTAAATTATACAAATATGTTGAGTTCCAATACTGAGTCAAGATATCAGCTCTCAAGGTCATCACGTCCACCGTCGTGTTAAATATTGAACAACAATCCAGCCACCGAAAAATACCTAGCAATCAGAAAATAACTTCTCCATACCCGTTCTTTTCGTGTCAATCTAAATTAATTTGCCAACTGATTCAGCTTACCACCAAACACGGTCAACATGCCTAGAAATAGAAAAAAGTGGTAAATTACAAAAAATGTCTTATATTTTGAGAACTGCTACAGACAGATAAAACACGAAAGGATCCTACATGTCCAGAAAATTAAAATCTATCTTGTGCTAATTTGGACGAACATCGCCAGACGACTCCTTATCGGATTCATTATATAAAATGAAGATGTTCATGATTTTTTACTTCGTATTCGGCTATATAATTGAAAAGAATAGTTTAGGAAACTTTTATTGGAAGTATATGCAAGATTTAACATACAAATAAGTAAAACAAAACTTAAATGGTAAATGGACTTCTTTTTCGTGTTATTATCGTTTAATAGCCGTTTTGACCAATTCGCATTTTGTTTTAAATGTACTTTTTAACAACACCCTTCTTGAGAACGTCACCCTCTTTAAAAAAAGATATACTGCACTACAGTTATAGTCCAAAATCTTTGTTTTCATAGAATGCATCTTATATGCACTTAATTTTAAGGACTGATTTACTGATTTCCGATACAATAGATACATTGAGTAAGAATTTTTGTCGAAGTGGTAAACTTTCGATCTTCAAATAAATTCATGCATCTTGTACATGTTATGATGCAAAATTATGTTAATGATGAAATAATCGACTACATGGTATTTTCGGAAACATACCTTTTACTGCTTATTCATCTGACAAAATTGAGAATGGAAATGGGAAATGTGTCAAGGTGTAATACCACCAAATCATAGTACGTCACATCCGGTTGCATACGAAAATAGGTCGAAAAAAAATATTCCCTTGAATTTGACAGTTGTAGGTAATTGATCCTACATTTCATTGCAGTAAAACATTTCTGAGTCATAAACATATATCTTGGGTATTTCAAAGCACCATTATTTCTTTATTTGGGGTTTCTATAGAATGTTTTGGAAACTTGAGGTTACATGGTTACTAAAGCTTGTACACAGGTTAAAAAAGGGGGAAAATTTGATTGGTTAACTTCCAGTGATGGTTATTTTCTTATATGCAATGAAATGTTATGTGAATTTTTTTCTATAGTACTGGACAGGATAAAACTTTACTCATGCCAAGTATTTATTTATTTGAAACAAAGATAAATTCTGCACAATTTTTGAAAAGTGTAAATTTAACAAAGACTAATAGGGGAAAATCAATGGTGGTATTACACCTAATATGGGAGGCTGTACATGCACCTTTGACCTTGTGAGTACTCTCATGTGTTAAAATTTTTTGCTATTTAAGTGAAATATTACAAATAATGAAATATTCTGAGTGGATTGAGTCTCCAAAATACATTTTATGAAAAAAATTTCCTTGAAATAGGACTTTACCATGAATATTAGTTGACAGAACAAGCCATACTTAGAGTCTTGGGGAGCTTTTTCTCCTTATTTCTTATATTCTGCTATACTAGAAAATTTTTCCTAAGAAATACTTTAATAAATATATAGTTTTAAGTAAATGAAATTATTTTCAAAGCAGTAACAACAAATTATTCACCAAAAGAGAAGTTTTTTATGTCCCTCTCTGGAACGCGGCGTACATTTAAGTTTTACGTAAGGACTTATTGAAACCTCCTTGGAGACAGTAAACTTTTATACGGATAGTTCATTCAGCTTGAATACTTCAATTAATCATTTATAATAACATTTATATCATAAATGAGTAAAAGTTACCCCAAAAGTTTTATTTATTGGCCTAAAAAGTAGAAATTTTGAGGAAATGAGAGGTATAAATGGACCAAAAGAGACCTTATAAGGAAGACAAAGAGGTCCATTAGTAGTATTTATCATCCTAAAGTCATCTTTTGTATCATATTCAACTGTTTGTAGGCAGATGAGATAAATATTTGATCATTTATTGGTCCACACTATATTCTATCATGATGCGGCTTGGTTTGAATTTTTTCGAAGAAATTTTGCTCGAATCGCTGTAGATGTCGTCTTACATTATACTAGATTTTTCTCAAAATATTGAACTGATTATGACAAAACTTGACAGGAATGCTTAAAATAACCAGTATTAAAAAGGAAAAAAGTCACATTGAGTTTATTAAACAAAAAAGTCTTCTTTAGGTGTAATACCACCAAATCATAGTACGTCACATCCGGTTGCATACGAAAATAGGTCGAAAAAAAATATTCCCTTGAATTTGACAGTTGCAGGTAATTGATCCTACATTTCATTGCAGTAAAACATTTCTGAGTCATAAACATATATCTTGGGTATTTCAAAGCACCATTATTTCTTTATTTGGGGTTTCTATAGAATGTTTTGGAAACTTGAGGTTACATGGTTACTAAAGCTTGTACACAGGTTAAAAAAGGGGGAAAATTTGATTGGTTAACTTCCAGTGATGGTTATTTTCTTATATGCAATGAAATGTTATGTGAATTTTTTTCTATAGTACTGGACAGGATAAAACTTTACTCATGCCAAGTATTTATTTATTTGAAACAAAGATAAATTCTGCACAATTTTTGAAAAGTGTAAATTTAACAAAGACTAATAGGGGAAAATCAATGGTGGTATTACACCTAATATGGGAGGCTGTACATGCACCTTTGACCTTGTGAGTACTCTCATGTGTTAAAATTTTTTGCTATTTAAGTGAAATATTACAAATAATGAAATATTCTGAGTGGATTGAGTCTCCAAAATACATTTTATGAAAAAAATTTCCTTGAAATAGGACTTTACCATGAATATTAGTTGACAGAACAAGCCATACTTAGAGTCTTGGGGAGCTTTTTCTCCTTATTTCTTATATTCTGCTATACTAGAAAATTTTTCCTAAGAAATACTTTAATAAATATATAGTTTTAAGTAAATGAAATTATTTTCAAAGCAGTAACAACAAATTATTCACCAAAAGAGAAGTTTTTTATGTCCCTCTCTGGAACGCGGCGTACATTTAAGTTTTACGTAAGGACTTATTGAAACCTCCTTGGAGACAGTAAACTTTTATACGGATAGTTCATTCAGCTTGAATACTTCAATTAATCATTTATAATAACATTTATATCATAAATGAGTAAAAGTTACCCCAAAAGTTTTATTTATTGGCCTAAAAAGTAGAAATTTTGAGGAAATGAGAGGTATAAATGGACCAAAAGAGACCTTATAAGGAAGACAAAGAGGTCCATTAGTAGTATTTATCATCCTAAAGTCATCTTTTGTATCATATTCAACTGTTTGTAGGCAGATGAGATAAATATTTGATCATTTATTGGTCCACACTATATTCTATCATGATGCGGCTTGGTTTGAATTTTTTCGAAGAAATTTTGCTCGAATCGCTGTAGATGTCGTCTTACATTATACTAGATTTTTCTCAAAATATTGAACTGATTATGACAAAACTTGACAGGAATGCTTAAAATAACCAGTATTAAAAAGGAAAAAAGTCACATTGAGTTTATTAAACAAAAAAGTCTTCTTTAGGTGTAATACCACCAAATCATAGT